ACCTTTTTACACAATTTATACTACAGATATGTTTGACATCTACAAATTATTCATTGCGTATGTATGTGTGATTTTGTTTAACTTTTTATTTTGAAGTAATTTTGATTTGTAGAAGATTGCAAAAATAGTACAGAGAGTTTCCATATGCCCAGCTTTCCCTAATGTTAATACCCTACATAACTATGGTACAACTATAAAAACGAAGAAATTAAAATTGGTACAATACTATTAACTAACCTACAGACTTTGATTGTATCAATTTTGCTACTAACATCTTTTTCTTCAGTCCAGGATTCAGTCTGGAATCACACATTGCATTTAGAGCTCATACTGTTTTAGCCTTCTTTGGGCTGTGACAGTTCCTTAATCTTTGCCTTTCATGACCCAAGGCTTTTCAAGAGTACTTTTCAGTTATTTTGTAGAATATCCCTCAATTTGGGTTTGTCTGATATTTACTCATAATTATATTGAGATTATTCATTTTTGGCAAGAATACCACAGAAGTGATGTGCCCTTCTCAGTGTGTATCATGGTAGAGTGTATATGCTGTCAATATGTCTTCTTACAGGTGATGTTAACCTTGATCACTTGGCTAAGGTGGTGTTTGCCAGGTTCCTCCACTGTAAAATTATTATTTTTCCCTTTGCAATTAATACATATCTTGGAGTAAATACTTCCCTTATTCCTTCTATATTTATTAATTGGAATTTCTTTGTGAGGGAAGGGCTCTTCCTTCTCTTCCATTTATTTATCTGTTCAGTTACTTATTAATATCAGTATGGGATCATTCACCTTTATTTTGTGGGTTATACTCAAATACTATAGTTATTTATTTTGTTTCTAAACTGTTCCAGTTTTGGCTGTTAGGAGCTTTCAGGTGGCACTTGTGCCCTATCTTTCTTGCGCTCTTCCTTACTTTCTGGCACCACAAAATGTTCTAAGCTTGCCTTAGATTTTCCCTGCCCCAACCAATTCTGGAATCAACCAATTCTCTAAGATGCCTTGGTTTCTTTTATTGGGAAATGGTATTTAGAAACCAAGATGTGAGAATTGGGTGTGCTCATTGCTACTGGGGTACCTTGCTTCTGAGCATTGATTGTTTTTTGTCATTTAATCATTTCTCTTGGATCATGACATTCAGAATACCCATTCATTTTTTTAAATAAATGCATTTAAGACTGTAAGTTTTTTTCTGAGTACTTTGGTATATCATGTTTCCCTTATTTATTTCTAAATAGTTTATAGTTTTTATTTTTATTTCCTCTTTGGCCCAACGTTTGTTAGATGTATGTTTAAGTTTCCATGTATGTAGATTTTTTAATTGGCTTTTTGTTGCAAATGTTTCATGTAATTTTACTGTAAGCAATGAATGTGTGTTTATGATTTTTTTTCTTTTTAAGAACATATTAAAATTTTAATTGTGGCTGGTTACATGGTCAGTTTTTGTGATTATACCATGTGTATGAAAGAATGATTATTAGATATAACCTCTAATTATATCCATACATCAAGTTTGTTAATTATGTTATTCAAGTCCTCAGTATCTTTACTATTTTTCATATCATTGTAACCATTCCATTTCTGTGAGAAATGTGTTAATAGCTCCCATTATGATGAATAATTTGTTCTCATTGGATTTTTAACAGATATTTCTTTATGTTTTAAAGCCATGTTTTGGGTATGTAAAAGTTCATGATTATTATTTTTCTTGGTCGATTGGGATTTTTATTAAAACTAAAGGGTTCTATTTATTGTTTAGCTAGTTGTTAATATTAATGTATATTTTTTATCATTTTTAAAACATCTGTCTGGTATATATTTTTCTAACCTTTTATTTTCTACATTTCTGTTAAATTTTTTTTTTTTTTTAGATGTGACTCCTGAAAACAACATTTGGCTGATTTTTTTTCTCTTAGTATGCCAAAAGAAATACTTGTTGTGGGTACAAAGTGAGGCTGAAAATAGAATTTATTAAAAATATTTTAGAAGTGCATTTAGGCTTTTAGAACCTCTCTCCCATTCTTTCTCCCCAAAGACTTTTAATTACCTTGTCCTAACTCTGGCAGATGACATAGGTACTATCAAAATAGCTAATTCCCCACATGATCTCCCCACAGTTGAAGCCCATCATTTAATAATTCCAACGCACACCACAGAAGCTTAAGGCATTTCAGTGTCTCATTTGTTAGATTTTTAAAAGAGAAAATACCATAATAAATATCCATTATTACAGATTCAAAAATTACCATGATTTTTGTCATATGTGTTTCATCTGTCCCTTTGTTTTTGTTTGTTGAAGTAATTTAAGGAAGACCCAAGACTGCATGCTATTTTCATCCCTATTTACTTCAGTGTGATGTGCCATTTTGTTATATAACAACAGTATCATTATCCCCAAATTAGCAATAGTTCCTCTGTATTTTCTAATTCCCAGTTCATAATCAAATTTCCTTAGTATTTAAACAAATTTAGTTCATTTGTTTGAATCTGGTTCTATACAAGGTCCACATGTCACTTTTGTTGCTTCTTTTTTATCCAGAAAAGCCACCCTCCCCCCTTTCTCCCTTCATCATTATTAATTTGTAGAAATTGGACCAATAGTCTTCATTGTAAATATGAATAGACAGCAAAGGATCTCCAGACTGTAAGGGAGGCTTCAAATGTGAAAGACAAAGAACAAAGCAAAGAAAAAATTTAAAAACCTAGAGGAAACAGAAGCAATGCAATAAGCTGAAAAAACTTTAAAACACAGCGTAATTGATATCAAAATTATCATCAAAAGAATAAGAGAAGAAATTGTACCCATGAAATAAGAACAAGGGGTAATAAAAAAGGGACCTTTTGAGGAATAAGAAAGAATTCCTGATAATTAAAATATGATAGCAGAAATTAAAAATTTTATGGGCAGAATGGAAGATAATGAAATTAAAACAAAATGTCCAAAGTAGTAAGATGGCAAAAAAATTTAAGAAAATTAGATGTCTCCAGATGGTTCCACATCCAAATCAAAAAATGTTCCAGAAAGGAAACAGAAAATGGTGGGGAAGGAATCATTTTCCTTAGGGTAAAGTTCCTGGAACTAAACATTAGTTTCCAAAACAAATACTCATGAAGTGCCCAGCACAGAGAATGACAAAAGACTGACATGATAATATATTGTGATGAAATTTAAGAATACTAAGTAAAAAGAGAAAAATTTTAAAGCTCTGAACCAGGGCAGGGGCAGAGGGGGGAGAACCTATACCATGTATCATACAAAGAAGAAGTAGGAATTAGAATGGCATCGGACTTTGCAAAAAAGCACCGGAAGTTAGGAAACAGAGGACGGTACCCTAATTTTCGAATGAATATTTTTCTCATGGATGATTCTATATTCAGCTAAACTGTCCAGTCTGATATATAGTAAAGATATTTTCAGATATTCACATTCTCAAATTTGCCTCTCATGCGCAGAATGCTCCTGGAGGATTTATTCCACCAAAAGGAGTACACCATAGAGGAGGAAGACTTTAGAACCAAGATACAGAGGATTTGACATGAAAGAGAGCTGAGGACAGTTCCTGAAATGACAAGAAAGGAAAGTCCCAGGATGACAGTTGTATAGTCAATTGAGAGAATACCCACACTGGAGCAAGGGAATAGAGAGCTCTGGGAAGGATATTTCCTAGAAAAGATATGATATTGAAGAGTTTTCTGCTGTGTCTGAAGGTGTTGAGAAAGAAGAATTACACCTCTGTCGGATTTGGAAGATGTATCAGTGATAGGTACACAGAAAACTAAGAAGAAAAGGGGATGGTTTTTTAATCCAGGGACAGCAAAAAGTTGTACAAGAAATGTGATCATATCATAACATGTGGCTCACTAGTGAAGAATAATGTAAATACTAAATTAAAAGGTTTATTTAAATAAAGGGAGGGTGAGATGAGAAAGGCGTGTGTTTGTATGTGTGTATAAGAGTTTAGGTATGTGTAGGAGGGTCAGTTCTTATTAGGATTGTGATATAAGCTGCTAGCTACCTACCCTAACATCATTGTTCCTTCTTCCTTAGTAATAGAACTGTGGATATATCTGCTTTACTTGAAATAGGTATGGCCATGTGTCTAATGTCTAAGTTCAGCAGAAGTAATCGGTGGTACTTCCAAGAAGTCTCCTTAAAACAGAGTGAGCCATTATTCTCCTCTTGCTGCTGGTCTGGAATGGGAAAGGAGTTGTTGGGGTTTCTGCCACTATCATGGTCAATGAAAATAAAGAACACACACCAAAGGTGGTAGACCAGAGAGTTGTAAGGATCCTGGGACTCTGATGACTCTATAAGGCTACTATTATCAGCATTGGATTGGCTAACAGTACATTTGTCTTATGCAATATAATATACTCTTGTATATTTAAGCTATCATATTTAGGTCTCGGTTATATCTAGCAGAATCAGATCTTAACTGATTTGTAATTTACTAAGAAATATCTAAATATTAAGGAATACTGAAATATTAAGGAATAACAATATAAGCATGTTATTTATAGAAGGAAATACCAGAGGAATCAGGAAAAAAGTTGAAAGTTGTTTTGGGAAGTGGAAATTGAGGTAAGGGCAATGATTACTATTCTTTCTTTAGCTCTTTTAGTAATATTTGACATTCGAAATTGTATACATATATTACTTTTAATAAAAATTGATATTTGGGTAGTTACATTTTAATTAGTAATTCAAGTGAAAATACATGTTCATTGAAAAATTTGAATAATACAAAAGATACAGAGTAAAAGTTATGCCTCCCTTCAATGTTCTTTGCCTTTCCCCTGCCCATCAGTTCCACTCTCCTCCCCAGGAGTGATGGTGTTTGATATGTGTCTCTCCATACTTTTTCTGTACATTCATTTAGCAAATATAAAGATGCATACTTTTTAACATTTATTTTTGTTAAAAATGTATTTAAATTTTAATTTAATAAAATTCTCAGGAAGGAATATTTGTAATGGATGTTGTTTGTTTATATTTTTAGAATTCAAGATGTAAGCATGCAGTTAAAAAGTCAACAATATGAATTTCAGAGAGTACAGAAAGAATTGAATCATTTGCAACATGAATTAAAAATTAAGCAGAGACAATCACAAGTATTCAGGTAAGATTATCTTTAAAGAACTGAAAATGATAAGGATTGAAAAAGTGCATTAACTTTATAAACATTCAAACAGATTTTAGTAATAGAGTTTCTATATTCGGTGTGGTTGGAAAAAAAGGAAACAACTTCTCTTGGGGTTTTTTTGATCATTATCTCAACTGAATGGTTTTAGCAATATATTTAAATCAGGCAAACACCTTGCTTTTATTGTGCAGTAACATTTAGAATGAAAGCACAGTAACTAATTCATTTTTCTCTTGACCAGTATTTCTTGGTGTATTCAATTCCCTGCCTGATAGTCCAGTGATACAAAAAGTAGAGAAGAATAGGATAACTTTTTAAAAAAAAATTATGTATTTATTTGAGAGAGAAAGAAAGAGTGTGCATGCGGGCATGAATAGGGGACGGGTAGAGGGAGAGAATCTTCAAGCAGACTCCCTTCTGAGTGTGGAGCCCAGCTAGGGGCTCATTTCAGGACCCAGCGATCATGACCTGAACCGAAACCAAGTGTTGGTTGCTTAACCAACTGAGCCACCCAGGCACCCTAGAATAGGGTAACTTTCTAAATGATAGTAATAGACCTCCTTAATTTCAAAATCTCCAACATAAATGGTGTTAATTCTGCTTTTATATAATCTTTGGAGGACTTATAATACCTAAAGTTAAAACCCAATGTTCTAAATAAATTAGGAAGTTCATTTTCTTTTATAAAATTGGAATTGAATATATTAAGAATATCAGAAACAGTGATTCTTTTCAAAATTGAGTAACTTATCTTTAGAAAAGGGAAATAAGTTAAATGAACATTATAAATAGACACAGGTTCTGGGTTACTAAAAAAATATGTTGAATGAATATTTTGAAGGTAGGTTCCTTTCTTTTCTTTTTCAATCTACTAGTTGTTGCCAGAGACATTGTTTCATTAAAAAAATTACCTGGGCTAATAATTTTTAATATACTATCTGGTGATCATCTGCTGGTCAACTACCTTTCATAAATGCCTTGCACATAATGACGCTCAATAAATAATTTTTGAATCGATGAGTCTATTCATAAAACAGATGATCGTTTTTGTCATCAGAAATCTTTTCTGCCTTGTCCTAGAAATCTGGTATTGAACCAGGAGGTGACTCCAGTTCTTCACTTTAGTCAGGCCGACCAGTTGGCTCTTCCAATAGCTCTGGCTCAGGTCTGCTAAGAAAGTCCCATTTATTTTATCCATTAATGCCATTGTGGGTGGTAGGGATTGACCGAATTTTAAAGGTTAGACCAGAACTAGATTAAATAATTAATGCTGCTTTAAGATATTAAGACTGATAAAATGTTCACATTTTACATGTGATTTGTAGCATTTTAAATTCTTGAAAAAACTGAGGCATATTGTTACTTTTATTGTGTTCTAGTTTTATCATTTTGAGTTATACTTTTAACTGCTTATTTTTTTAAAAAAATTTCAATAGATATTGTGACTTTTGTTTATTTTTAGCTAAAAGATTATAAATTGGGAGTCTGGGGTCTGACATATAAAAACATAGCATTTACTAAAAAGCAATTTTGGAAGTAACCATCTAACTAAACACTTAGTACAAATAGAAGTTTATAATATACAAATAGAAATGATTACTGGTTTTATTCCTCACTAGTAGTTACGTTGCATAGGAACAAGCAGTCTGGTGAAAATAAAAGCAAAATTTATAGGGTCAGTGATTTTGTTGCATTACTAAAAGCTGATTTTATAGTAATTTATCTTAAAAATATCTACTAGAATACAGAAGAAAAGGAGCTTATCATCTCTCTAAATGTGGCAAAGAAAAGAAGCATGAACTTTAGGTGCTCAGATACAATCATTTTATTTGTGGAGCCCAAAAGGAACTTTCCCTTTTTTTTTTTAAGATTTTATTTATTTATTCATCAGAGAGAGAGAGAGAGAGCACAAGCAGGGGGAGTGGCAGGCAGAGGGAGAAGCAGGCTCCCTGCCGAGCAAGGAGCCTGACGCAGGACTCCATCCCAGGACCCTGGATTATGACTTGAGCCGAAGGCAGACACTTAACCCACTGAGCCCCCCAGGCATCCCAAAAGGAACTTTTAATAGATCAATGAACTGTGTCTTTGAGTCGCATTGCTCTTTTAAAATTATTCTGTCATTTACTTAATTGCAATTGGGCTTAATCACCTAGCCTCCAGAAAAGTGTTCATCATGCTTTGTTTTTCCTGACATCATTTCCAGCCTGTCTCTTGCCAGGGAGGTGATCAGGAGTGTGTGTGGTCTGCCTCAATTGGCTCAGCACATTTGCTATTCAGAATAAAATGCCTTTGAGAATGGGAATTAAGTTTAGAAGGCCTGTAAAATGGACACTAAAAAATAGTATGGAATATAAGTATACTTCACTTTATGTAAATCTGTATATAAATCCAGTGCTCCAAATCAATCCATATTTGAAATATTTTAGGCAATGTTTACTTTTAGAGGATTCCTATTGTGAATCTTTCATAAATTGTTTGAAATATAAAGTACTTACTTTTTTTTTTTTTTTTTTTTTTTTAAGAGATGGAAGGGGGAGAGAGGGAGAGGGAGAGAAGAATCTTAAGCAGGCTCCACACCCAGCATGGAGCCCAATGCAGGGCTCGATCTCACAACCCTGAGATCATGACCTGAGCCAAAATCAAGAGTTGGACGCTTTAGTGACTGAGCCACCCAAGTGCTCCCTTACTTTTTTAATTTGTCAATCTAGACTCTGTCATCTGGCTTTATTTTGTTTTGTTTTCTCAATCTCATAGTTTATCATATCACATCTTATTTTATACAGTTTTGTTGATATACAATTACTTACTACAAAATTCATTCATGTTAAGAGCACAATGTAATTATTTTTATATTGTAAGACCTACTAAGTTGGGCAACCTTTACCACATTCAGTATTGGAACATTTGAGTCACTCCTAAGATTCTCATGAAATTTGCACTCAATCTCTGTTCTCACCACCTGTCCTAACAATCCCTAATCTTCTTTGTTTCTATAGATTTGCATTTTTCTGGACATTTTGGATATATGGAATCAGACAATGTGGTCTGATTCTACTTTTTGTTTATTCATTTTTTTTTTTAGATTCCACATGCAAGTGAAATCATATGGTATTTGTCTTTCTTAGTCTGATGTACTTCACTTAGCATAATACCCTCTAGGTCCATCCATGTTGTTGCAAATGGCATGATCTCATCCTTTTTTGGCTGCATAATATTCCATTGTTTAGAGATACCATATCTTTCTTATTCATTCATCTGTCAGTAGACATTTAGGTTGCTTCCATATCTTGGCTATTGTAAATAATGCTGCAGTAAACATAGGGGTACATAAACTTTTTGAATTAGCATATATTAATGCTCATTTATAATTTTCTTTTTCTTTAGGTAAATATCCAATAGTGGAAATATTGGATCATAAGATGTTTCTATTTTTAGTTTTTTGAGAAACCTCCATACTGTTCTCTACAGTGGCTGTATCAGTTTGCATTCCCACCAATAGTGCATGAGGGTTCCTTTTTTTCCACATCCTTGCCAACACTTGTATTTCATGTCTTTTTTTAATCTAGCACATCTTCTTTTTTCATTCATCAGTGGATGTGTGTGTGTGTGTAATGGAATATTACTCAGCCATCAAAAAGAATGAAATCTTGCCATTCACAATGATGTGGATGGAGCTAGAGTGTATTATGCTAAGCGAAATAAGTCAGTCACAGAAAGACATACCATGTGGGTTCAATCATATGTAGAATTTAAGAAACAAAACAGATGAACATAGGGGAAGGGAAAAAAAGAAGGGGGGAAGCAAACCATAAGAGACTCTTAACTCTAGAGAACAAACTGAGGGTTGATGGAGGGAGGTGGGTGGGGGATGGGCTAGATGGGTGATGGGTGTTAAGGGAGGGCACTAGCTGTGATGAGTACTGGGTGTTATATGTAAGTGATGAATCACTAAATTCTACATCTGAAACCAATTTTACCATATATGTTAACTAATTAGAATTTAAATAAAAACTTGAAGTCAGGAAACAAACAAAAAGCCAAGATATGCCAAAAGCTAGGCCTCTTATGCCAAACAGTTATCCAAGTTTGTGGATGCAAAAAAAAAAAAAAAAAAGCTCTTGAAGTAAATTAAAAGTGTTACTCCAGTGAACACATGAGTGATAAGGAAGCAAAACAGCCTTATTGCTGATATGGAGAAAGTTTTAGGGGTCTGGATAGAATATCAAACCAGCCCCAACAGTCCCTTAAGCCAAAGCCCAATCCAGAGCAAGGCCCCAACTCTTCAATTCTATCTATGAAGGCTGAGAAAGGTAAGGAAGTTGTTTAAGAAAAGTTTGAAGCTAGCAGAGATTGGTTCATGATGTTTAAGAAAAGAAGCCATCTCCATAACATAAAAGTGCAAGATGAAGGAGCAAGTGCTGATATAGAAGCTATACAGCAAGTTTGCAGAAGATCTAGCTAAGAAAAGTAATGAAGGTGGCCACACTACACAACAGATTTTCAATATAGACAAAACAACCTTCTGTTGCGAAAAGATGTCACCTAGGACTTTCTTAACTAGAGAGAAGTCAATGCCTGTTTTTAAACTTCAAAAAAAGGCTGATGCTCTTGTTAGGGGCTAATGCAGCTGGTGATTTTAAGTTGAAGCCAATGCTCATTTATAAATTTGAAAATTCAAGAGCCCTTAAGAATTATGCTAAATCTACTCTGCCTGTACTCTAGAAATAGAACAACAAAGCCTGGATGATAGCAAATATGTATACAATATGGTTTACTAAATATTTTAAGCCTTTTGTTGATGCTTACTGCTCAGAAAAAAAATATTCCTTTCAAAATATGACTGCTCATTGACAATGCACCTGGTCATCCAAGAGCTCTAATGGACATGTACAATTAGATTAATGTTTTCATGCCATCCATTCTGCAGCCCATGGATCAAGGAGTAATTTTGACTTTTAAGTCTTACTATTTAAGAA